CCGCCGCCGCGGGAGGAGTGCAGGTGCGAGGTGACACAGAGCGGGCAGACGCAGAAAGCGCCGCTCTTGCGGGACGGGCAGCCCGGGCCCGACACCGACATGACGAGGGGGGAAGGCATGCTGAGAGGGATGAAGAAGTCCTGGCCGTGGTGATGCTCAGGCAGGGACGGAGCCGGCCTCGAGGAGTCTTTGATGATTAAGGAGTCGACATAGAATGAGCGGGACATTTCGGAGGGCTGCCGAAGCCGGGGGCGGCTCTCCCGAAGTCGGGGTTTTCCTGCTCGGCCAAGTTGCCACTGAAGTCCTGGCGAGGCGAGAAGGTGCTTATGTGTGAGAGCTGAACAAAAGGGTCCCTGGAGAGGGCTGGTCTTAAAGTCCCCCCGCCTGGATCCCCTGCGCCGGGGTTTTATATCAACTATTTAAACACGTGATGGCTGAAAGCCTCGCAGATCTAAATCTCCCCGGCTTCCCAGGCCGGCAGGAGAGGCTGCCGGGGGGCGGGGGGGCCCAAAGTGTGCGTGCTCGCTCCCGATGACTTCAGTCCTCCGCCTCCGCCCCAGATAAATTATAGGAGCGGGGAAGCCGGGGAGGGGGCGGCTGCCCCGCGGCCCCGTCGCGCGTCGCGCTCGCAGGCACACCCCCCTGTCAACACAGCCCCCCGGGGGGGCGGTTAAAATCCCGCGGAGGGAGTTTCTGCTCAGGGGTTTTCCCCGAGGAGCACGCTCCTTTCCCCCGCAGGGAGGGACGGAGAGAGGGGAGCAGGTGATGCGCTGGAACGAGCGGGTCAACGCCGACCCCCTCCAGCCCCCCCGAGTAAAGTATCATCCAGGGGGCCGTGACTCCCACGGAGGCGCGGGACCAACACCTTTCCCCGGTCCGGTCCAGTCCGGTCCACTCGCTGCAGGCAGGACTCCTTCAGGAGGCCCTTTCCGCACCAGAGGAGCCGGGGTCACGGATACAGACACAGATATAAAGTTAGGGATCGCGCGTGTGCGTGTGTCTGTGCATATATATGCATGTCGGGTGGGTTGTTGGGTTTTTTGTGGGGTTTTTTTCCTCGCCCTTTTCACCCCGAGTGAATCTTGCCAAATTGGCAATTACTCCAACGGACAAAGCCTTCAAATATCTGGACACTTCTCAGGCAAACGGTATCAAAACGGAAAACTTCCAAGTGAACTTCCCCGACCGCTTCAGGACTGCAGCGCGCAGCGCTAATGAAAGGCGAACATGTCAGGGGGGGATTCTTTGATCTCCACCAAGTTTGCTGAAGCAATCATTCAAAGTAAAATTGGATAAACAGCTAAATACGGTCGGTGGCTCCGGAGCATTTCAGATTGCACTAAAAAGCCAAGGTATTCGCAGCATATTACACGATTTTCCAGTGACCTGTTTTATGGGAGTTTAAGAAGAGACTTATCGTTAGTAGAAGGGCGATCGCGTTCTTGTTTGGCAGATGCGAAGCGGCGTTTAAAACCGACCACGGATCCCATCCCACTTGACTGGGGAAAGGAAAGCGACAATTGTGCTCTAAAGCAGAAAACGCAGACTACGCCTGATTACCAGAGGCTGAGCAGAAGCCAGGGGGTGAATCAATAGCCGTAACGTGTTCAGAGGCGGTTATCGTGCACAAGGGCCGGACCGGGACGCCGACATCCTCTCAGCCCTCCCGCACACCCACCCACTCTCCTGCTGTTAAAACCCAGCAAAATCAAATTGCTGCCCGCCTGCTGATGGAGGCGGCATTTTTCCTCGGCCCTGGGACCAGCGAGGCTCAGCGGTACAACAGTAGCCGTGTCAAGAGAGGGGCCAGGTCTCGCCTTGCTGTCCCGTCCCCGTCCCCAACCTGCCGCGGGCAGTGCCGCCGTGCGCCCCCCGGCCCCGAGCAGGGGC